TAAGAACCAAGATACTCATGTAATGGTACAAGATCCCAATGATGAATGTAACTGTATTGTATACCTAAAATGTACCAATAAACTTAATGGGAAAAAAATAAAAAAATAAAGGGTCCTTAGCATACTGTCTGGATTCCTAATAAGTAGAGACTGCTATGATCACTACAATTACTGCTGACATGAGCTCAGCACTGTCCTAATGACAACATATGTAAATTCTTTTTATTCTCACAACCTTAGCTACCTCTAATTCAGAAAGTTTCAAGAACACTGATAGATTATTATTTGTGATAAGAATTGTCTTGCTTATTCTCTGGCTTCAAAAAGTTCAATAATCAAAATTATAGAACATTGAGGTAGTAAATGGAAAATTCTTTTTCTTTAAATTCAGGTTTATTTAATCTTCAGAAAGTAAAATTCAGATAGTCAAAATTATACAATTAGACTGTGACAGAGAGAGAAATGAACACTATTTGAAACTTACAATCATGAAAGAATACTGATTTTCATAGATTAGCATCCCAAACTTGATGATATGCTGCTTATAGATTACAGATCAGTGAAATGGAATCCACAACCTCTTTTCTTTTGTAATTGTGTTTTAAAGAAACTGGCTGGGAGAATTCTAATTGCCTCTTGAAAAATGATGCCCATGTTATTAATCCTAAGTTTGACTACTGCGAGTACAGCTGTTGAGGAGACCTGACAAAGTTTTCTATTTCAAAAGAGAAGTATTTGAACAAATTGAAATGTAAGATGAAACACTCCTTAAGACTATGACTTTACCCTTCTGATTGTTTAGGGCTTTCTCTGACATTATTTTGAAGTACTTCTCACAAAAGAACTGGGTGAGACCACAGGCTCTAAAATCATTTGAGAAACAAATGACAATCTCTTGACTAAAATGTTAATCCCTTATTCAATCTGAAAGTAAATGGCATGTCCTGCAATTCATGACACAAAAAATCGACTTGATCTAAATCTCTTACCAATTTAATCCTTCATTCACAACCAACCTTTTCCCTCTTATTTAAAGTAATTATAGCAAGAACAAGAATCACAAGGGCATGTGAAGAATACCTGTTGACCCTTGCCATAGTCACTGAACACTTATGTGCCAGATATCGGGAATTAGTCCTCCCAGGCTGTATTTAGATTCACCTTTGAACCTAAGCTCCTTGTGATCACCCAGCAGGGATCACATTCTTTAAGAAAGAATATAAACTCGTACATATAGACTTCGACCAACTGGTTGCTTTCTCAGCTCTAAACCAGCTTTGTAAATCTTTTCTGCATTTCCAGTGATAAAGAAACATGCAATTGGAAATGTGCCGCTGCTGTAGCATAGTTCACATGATTTACTACTCGAATGGTGATAACCCTGAGGTAGCTATGTGTGTGCTTCTTAGGGAAAGAACTTTGTATTTGCAGTGCATACCTAACACACGGCAGATAGTATGTTAAGAAATTTCCCTATTTTCTCTTATTGAAATTCTACTTATCATTCCTTTCTGGGCTTCAATTTCCTCATCTTTTAAAAAAAATTGGGATAATATTCCAAAAGACTATTATGTCTCCTAAGTTAAGCAAAATTCCTCAGAAACTAATGTAAAAAATTATTATAAAGATTAAACGGGACTTAGAGAAACAAAGGCAACCTATTTATTGAACACTTACCCACAAAGCAAACACTATGGCTATTCCTTTCACTTATTTTATATAGTTTTTTCACTTATTTTATCTTGTTCTTAGCTCCATTTTAAAAATAAGGAAAATGCTTGGTGTGGTGGCACACATTTGTAATCCCAGTACTCTGGGAGACTGAGGCAGGAAGATTGTAAATTCAAATCGCAGCCTGAGAAACTTGGTGACTTAGTGAGATCAAGACAAAAAAATTTATAAAGATTGGGAATATAGCTTAATTCAAAGGCTCTGGATTCAATCTCCAGTATATACATACATACATACATACATACATGCATACATACATACATACATACGAAGCTAAACAGAAGTACCCAAACTATTTTTTTTGCCAGTGGAGGAACTTCCACCAAGAATCTAGAAAACAAATATTGAGTACTTACAATGTGTCAGTCTGTCTCAAAGAGATTTTTGGCATAAGCTTTCAGAAAATGTTTGAAGGTGGGCAAGGTAATGGCTCACAGAGAAGAAAAAATCAATTGTATTGTTTTGGCCATAATAGCTTTAAGATCCTAGTATTGTATATCCAGGGAATGATGCGGAGTAGGAGCTACAGATAACTGTCTGGAATGTAAAGGGGTCTGAAGTAGAGAGAAAAAAACAAACACACCATGAATCATCAACAAATGACATTAATGAGATTTCCTAAAAAGAAAAAAAAAATAGAAAGTTGACATAGTTAAGACAGAGCCCTGAAGCCCTCCATGTTCAGAAGTCTGAGAAGAGAAACAGTCAAGAAAAGACCCACAGCAGTGACTGATGAGGTACAAAAAAATTTCAGGAATCTGGAGTCATGGAAGCCTGGAGAGAAACATTTCAGGGAGGAAAAACCACTAGTAATGTTGTTAAACCAAGTAAAATACAAAGAAGTGACCACTAGTTTTAGCAAAAAGGTGATCTTCAGTCAACAAATATTTGAGTATGAAGTATGTGTCAAATGCTGCACACCAGGGATACATCAGTGAACAAACATGTAAAGTTCTGCCATCATAGGACTGGCGATCTAGTAGAAGGAAAAAGACAATGAAATGATAGGATGTTAGCAGTTGGTTATAAGCATTTTACAGAGGAGGAAAGCAAGGAAGGAGATTTCTGTGCAGGCAAGGGCCTGTGACTGCAAATATGGTAGTCAGGTGATATTCGAAGACATGAATGAGAAGAGGGAGTGAGCCATGTAGGTGTTTGTAGGAAGAGCACTGAAAGAGAGAAGAAAATGTGCAAAAGTACCCGGAAAGCTTAAAGACACCCCCTCCCCGCAACGCTTCCATTCCCTGGAGCAGAGTGAGTCTGGCGAATATCTGAATGAAGCAATAAGAAGTAGGAGTTTCTGCTCTGAAGCCAGAAGGGGACCTTTGAGAAGGGAGACACCAGCTGGCATCGTGCTAATAGGATCATGCAGGCTGATGTGAATAGACTGCGAAGATCAGCAGTGGAGAATAGGGCCGAAGCAGGGAATTTGGTTAGGAGACAACTACAATAATTTAGTGGGCCTTGGACCAGGTGAAAAGAGCAAACACAGTGAGTACACAGGCTCTACATATATCACAAAGCCAGATAGGAGTTTAGAGATCAGGAAAAATATGTGGTTGAAGGAATAAATTTACGAGTGGTCACAGGCCATCTAATATTTAAATCCATGAACCTAGATGAGATCACCAACTAAGGATGGAGAAAATTTGTCTAAGGACTGATTCATGGGACACCCTAGACTTTGCAGAGCTGAACAGGAACCAACAATGTGTGGGAATAGCTGGCCTTGAGGATTTGATCCCTATACCAAATGCTGACAGGTTAAGATGAGGACAGGGCTAGGGTGTAGCTTGCTTAGCAAATGTGAGGCCCTGGGTTCAATCCCCAGAACTGGAAAAAAAAAAAAAAAAGATAGAAACTTACTGGATTTGTGTGATCATCTTCAGAGCCCATGACAATATTTCAGAAAAGCGGTCTGGTTGGGATGAATTCAACAGAATGAGAGAAGAGGAAATAGATGAGAATATAGCAACTCTTGAGAAATTTTGAAGAAAAAACAGAAGTCGGACAGTTATCCAGGAAGAAAGTGAGCTTTAGACTTTATTTTAAAGAAGGGAGAGAGACCAGCATATTTTATATGCTGAAGAGAAAGATCTAGTACAGAAGAAAACTGACGATGTGGGAGGGAGAAGAAATTGCTGCAGTGATGTCTTTGAAACTGAGAGCAGGAGCGAAGTCTGACCTCACTGGACAGCAGGGACAGCTTGCTGCATAGGACATGCAGAGGTGGGGAGCCTCTGGAAGTTCTCTCTTGGCATTTTCATTGCGGGGAGGTGAAGTTTAAGAAAAGAAAAACAGTTGTCATGAAAATAGGAGAATGAATGGATGAGAGTAATAAAGTAAAAATCTATAGCAGCATCAAGGCCCACTTGACATTATCATGATTGTTTTACTTCTGCCAAGCTAAGGTACATACCCATAAGGCGTGGGGTCAGAAGACTGCCGGAACTATGATTGAGTTTGCTGATACAATGGAGCAAGGAAAGGAAAGAGGCATTTAGCATTAAGTGAATTCATTCATCTCACCCCTAGGCTCAGAGGTAGGAGAGAAATGGGAGCAACCACCACTTAGCTTCGGGGGAAACTGTGTCTTTAGGGGGAGGGACAGGATTCTTTTAGAGCAAGAAAAGTGAAAAGTGCATCCAAAGAAGTTAAGGATAAAGGGAATTTGGTTTCTCTTGGTGAGAGCTTTTTCCATGAAGTGGGTCAAGAAGCAAGTGGGAGAATAGAAAATTGGCAAAAGAGCAGGCAATTTTTTAAAAAATAAGAGCTCTTAAATGTGCTAGAGTTAGGTGAAGGTCAGAGACAAGGTTTGTATCTTAAGTTGAAAGATACTATAGCATATTTTTATATCACTGGAAAAGATCCAGTTAAGAGGGTAAAATCCCTAACAATATAAGAGAAATGGGACAAATGTGGGGATCCTTGCGGAAGCAAAACCTTTGGAAATGTCAGAGGACAATAGGTCTTAGGCATACTTGAAAATCTGGCCTTAACAAATTTCATGGAAAGTGGCAAAGGGAGGCTATAAGCAGGAAGGTTAGTGAGCTGTGAAGTGGGACCGAATTAGTTATCTTTGCCATGAGTCTATCTTCTCAAGTATGAGGTAAGATTACCTCCTAAAAGCTGGCGGGGAATGTTGCAGATTTGATGAAGGAAAAGGAATGGTGAGGAGAAAGTCAAGAGGTTGGAAAATGAGTTTACCTGGGTATTGTGGAGTCCATTTGGCAGTATCCAGTGGCCATCTGGGATCAGCCAACATGGTTGCCTGATTTTCCACCAGGCTTTGCTGCTTGAGCACAGGTAAACTAACAAAAACTGAAGTCTTTACCAGGTAAGTAAAAGTGAGAAAGCAAGATACAATGAGAAAAGGATGCTTGTAATGAAGTGGTGTGAGTACTAGACCACAAAATCGGTGGTTCCTAAGGAAGCAAGACACAAAAGGAGTAATGGGTAACACAATGTTATGAGCAAGAGACTAAACGTCTGGATGAGGTTAGAGAACTATTGAAAGGAAAAAATCTGAGATAATGAAGCTAATGAGTCAGAAGATAATGAGGGGTAGGAATAGAAAATTAGTATTTTGGAGATGATACATAATTTTCTCCCTCAGTTTTAAAAAAGCGTTAAGTCAAATACTAAAATCTTTATGATCAAGTTGATTTTACTTTTGGTTACATTACAAAAACTTTCTAATTAATTACATCACTGGTTCAGTCAGGGTTTGTTTGGTGAGTCAGAGATAATATTATCTGACTTGAATTTTGCAATTATCTCATCATATGAGGGAACAATATTGTTTTATAGATTGAGTATCCCTTATCTGAAATGTATAGAACCAGAAGTGTTTTAGACTTTTTTGCATTTTGGGATATCTGCATATACATTTTTTGAATTCTGGAATATCTATCCCCAAATATCTTGGGGAGAGGACCAAGTTTAAACATAGAATTCATTTATATTTCATATGTAACTTAGGCTGAAGATAATTTTATGCAGTACTTATAGTGTACTGGCATTTTGACAATGCCTTGTCACATGAGGTCAGGTGTGGAATTTTCTACCTATGCCTCCTGATTGTGCTAAAGTTTTGGATTTTGGATTTTTGGATTATTGGTGCTAATAAGCCTGAAGAGGGAAACACTAAAACTCAACAGGGAAAAATCTATAAAATTGTTTTGACATCAAAAATTATGTGCTATGATTAAAATAAGAAAATGCCCATTCCATAATTAAGTGGAAAGTTTCCAATGAGTTCCATTATCACTAGCAGCTTTAAAGATTAAAGGACAAATATTTTGCTGTTACAAAATTTAAAATAAACATAAGAAAACACTGGGTAAAAATTTTTTTCATTCCATCTCTCTGCCACTTAAAATTACAAGTATATAAACAAATGTACAATGTCAGAAGACATTAGGTGTGAACAACTGTAGTATATGGTGACAAATTAATGGCATCATACAAATCATTCAATTTATTTAAAAAAATAATTAAGTGTCAAATTTAGGCTTCTACTGTACGTAACTAAACTTCCATTTGGCTTATACAATTCCATTTTCTCCAACTGGGAGCTGGGCAGGATCAAGTCCAACTTTCTTCATTGATACAGCAATATCAAACAAATAGTCATAACACTCACACCTGTAAAAGACAAAAGCAAAAAGGATTGAAGGTGTTTACTGAAACAGAGTTTTCCAGGCCTAAACAATCACATCTCTCTTCTCCATCCAGTTACTTCTGCATTGTTCCTAGTATCTATACATTTTTCCCCTCAGTTCTGGGTCAAAATTTTCTTATTTTGTCCCAAACAATTTTAAAACATGCAAAGGAATCACACTGAATCATGCAATAGTATTATATACTACTCAGGAAATAGAAGAATTTTAAATACACTACTGATACAAAGTTATTTTCTACTATGTGCCATTTTTTGAAATAAAACTTCTATTACTTAGGATCTGCTTCTCTTCTTTGTATCAAAGTCCACAGAACTTTTCCAGATATGAGCTGATCTAATAAATACATCTCGATGAATCAATATATTCTAAAATGCAAATATTTATAACTTGTAATGATAAACTAAACTTAAACCAATCTGACCAATAAAACATTTTAAATATTAAAACATATTTTGTTCATTTTCACATGAAGAGTATGGTGATATCCCAGAGGTTCTCAGACTTGTGCTTACATGGTTTTAGCCTTCTCCCAGGTTTCTCCCCACACATATACTCCATGGCGCCTGACGAGCACTGCACAGGAATCAGGGTACTCATTCATCGCACGAGCCATGCGTTCTTTGAGGTCTTTCTCCTCAGGAGTGTTCTCAATAATGGGTACCACTAACATATCATTGTATCTGTAAGATGAAGCAAGCCATTTCCCCCATTCAAACAAACAAAGATCTTCATGTATACAGGGCATCTGTAACTTTTTCAAGTAATCAGCCATTTTTTCTGGAAAGCAACTCCAAAATATGAACAAGATGCTGCATGTTATTCTGTGTATCTTGTGTAAACATCTGTATCACAAGATACTTTGGGAATTTGGCAGGTGATCCTAACTGGTGGAAATGTGTATATGGTATATCAAAACCTAACAAACAAATCATTAAGATTGTACAAGTATTTCCTTGAAGAAGAGATAATCATAATATTTTTAACAGGAGATGGGAAATTATAAATCTCAGAGTCAGAAGCAAAGGAAGGATTAAAAATATCATTGTGTTTCGTCTCTGCAGGACTCAAAAATAGCCTGGACAGGCACATCAATAAATACAGGTGTGGTTTGTCCACTGGGACAGAAAAATCTTTTAGAAATAGCTACTAAAAGCGTGATAATACTTTCAGAATAGTCTCAAATTTATAGCATTAGAACTTCTTTTGTTTCTACTTTGTTCTCAGTAAATGCATGCAATGTGATCTGAATGTAATAATGTTCAAACAACTGAGTTACTAATCAATCCATTCTTAATATCACATAACCAATCAAAACTCAGACAAGTTTTTCTTTTTACATGAATTTCTCTTGCATTGTTAAAGTAACATCTGCCTTTCCCACCTGTGTGTAAACCTAATAAAACAAAAGTTTTACCTAAAGTGTTATCATTAATATCAGCAATTGCTCAACAGAGCTAAGAGACAACCTACAATGTGGGAAAAAATTTTTACCAGTTGTTCCTCAGACAAAGGTCTACTATCTAGAATATATAAAGAACTAAAAAGAATCAGACCCCCAAATATAAAGACCCAATTCAAAAATGGGCATCTGAAATGAACAGATATTTCTCAGAAAAAGAAGTAAAAGCAGAAAATAAACACATGAAAAAATGTTCAACATCACTGGTCATTCAAGAGATGCACATGAAAACAATGCTGAGATTCCACCTCACCCCAGAAAGAATGGCTGCTATCAAGAAATCAACCAATAACAGGGCCGGTAATTTAGCTCAGTGGTCCCAGTACCTGCCTCGAAAGTACAAGGTCTGGAGTTCGATCCCAGTCACCAAAAAAAAAAGAAAGAAAGAAAGAAAAGAAATCAACCAATAACAGGGCCGGTAATTTAGCTCAGTGGTCCCAGTACCTGCCTCGAAAGTACAAGGTCTGGAGTTCGATCCCAGTCACCAAAAAAAAAAGAAAGAAAGAAAGAAAAGAAATCAACCAATAACAAATGCTGGCGGGGTTGTAGGGAGAAAGGAACCTTTCTTCATTGTGGGAGTGCAGACCGGTGCAACCACTGTGGAGACCAATATGGAGATACCTTAAAAAACTAGGATTAAAGGTTCCATTTGACCCAGCTATTCCCCTGCTGGGTATCTTCTCAAAAGAATTAAAAGAATCCTACCACAGTGATATATGCACACCCATGTTTATAGCAGCACAGTCTGTAATAACTAAAACTTGGAAACAGCCCAATTGCCCATCAACTAGAGACTGGATAAAGAAGATGTGTGTGTGTGTGTGTGTGTGTTTAATATAAAATGAGAGTAACACTCAGCTATAAAGAATGAAAACTAGAGACATTTATAGCTAAATGTATGCACATTGAGGCCATACTCTTAAGTGAAATAAATAGGACACACATGTGTAAATACCGAATAGTTTCTCTGGTGTGAAAAACTAAAAAT